CTTTTTTATTTATAAACATTTATTTAATTCTGTTTTTAGTATTTGTTGTTATAGCGGCAACATAGATACGTTATCTCTAAAAATTTCAACTGTCTGGCTATAACGGTTCATAAGATAGACCTTTGTGACAGACGGACGGACAGCGAAGTCTTAGTAATAGGGTTCCCGTTTTTACTCTTTGAGTACGGAACCCTAAAAAGATACATGCTTTAATTTACCTGTAAAGACAGCCATCTAGTCTGAGCAGGGTGAAGCATCTTGTGTGGTTTCAAGTCACGTTTGCTGCTGTGGGAGAAATAGTTGTATATTGATCTGATAAAATCCTCTACACTCCGTGGAAGCTTTTTTGCTGCTGATGATGAACAAAGGTGAAAACTATGACACACACAACCAAGCACAAAAATATTGGGAAAATATTTTTGAACAGAGCTTGAATACCTCCAATCTTGCCCATCATTACAGCAGCATTGTCAGAAACAAAGCCTAACAAACTTTGAACAGGAACCTTAATTTTTGTTAAATACTCACAAATTGATTCATATATTCCTTGGGCAGTACAGTTTTCACTCTTAGAAAACCAATAAAGATGTCTTTACATCTTTGATTCATTTTGTCATAGTATCTTGCTATAAGCACAAGGGATTTTTGTGTGCTTATATCTGTAGTCTCGTCAATTATGAGAGAGAAGTGTTGCTTGGATAATATAGCAGATACTGAATTGATTTGCCCTTGAGCTAAGCAATCCTTGGTTAATTTGGTAGCTTTCGTTCTGTTACACTTTTATTTTTTTTGCGATATTAGAATCTGGGAATATGGAGATTAATAATAAAATAAGGTGCTCCATTATAAGAAAAGACAAATTATGTTCATTTAAAAAAGCCACGAGTTTTAACTCGGTCCTTCTAACATATTTTATGACTTCTTATGCTTTTGTAAACTTTGATATTTTTGGGGTGTTTTTTGCATTTTCCACATTCTTTTTGTGCAATAAATTAACCTCATGCCTTTAAAAATGAGGCACTCCACCTTTTAGTGTATTATTGCATATTTTACTGTAAAAATCCCCATTCTAACGCACATCCAGCCACTTAAATGTAATTGTCCATTCTTTCCTAAAATTTCTTTTAATATTTTTCTTTGTTCTTCTGTTACGTTCCTGTGTTTCAGTTTCAATCGACTCATTGCTACTGGGAACAGGAATAACAGCATCAACGACAACCTGAACGTGTTGTGAGGTTCTCTTCCTTTTTGAGAACGCTCACGAACACCGAGTTGCCTTGGTTCAGTACTCGGGCGCCACCCTCAAAGTTTATAGTGTTTGAGAGACCACTAGTGCCAGTACGGGTAGCTTTTATACAGTGGAGATACCAGGGAGTGATGAGATGAAAAGAAAATAAAACACACAATTAACTATAACGTAACACTATGTTTTTATTTAACCAATTAATTATGGACAAAAGCAATCAAAGAAAGTTTACGTTCTCGAATTGTAACAATATTAAAATAAAATGAATGTTAGAAATTCGTAAAGCAAAATGTACAATAACAACCGTGTACCTCTAGAGTTCTGATCGATTATTCCCAATACGCAACTCTCTGACTGACTCTATCACTTGAACTCAAGACGCGTTCCCGAAGTGAAGTTCCGTTGGACACGACGACGCGAGTTCTAGATCGGCGTCGAAGTTAGCGGCGTCCCATTAAACACAGACACGTAGGTACCGGAGCAACACACTCTACAGCGACGCGACTCTCGAAGCGGCGGCGACGTCGTTACAGGCGTCCCGATGGTCACAGCAACGTATCTACCGGAGCGGCGTCCTTTTTGACAGCGAAACACGAATCCCGGATCGGCGTCGATGTTAGCAGCGTCCCATTGGATACAGACGCGAGTCCCGGATTGACGTTGAAGTTAGCAGCGTCCTGTTGGACACAGACGCGCGTCCCGGAGGCATATTCATATTCTGCCAACGTAATACGATATTCGGCTAAAGTCGCAAGCGTTCGAGTCTAACGTTTGCAAAATATGATTACATTGAACTAACGTTGGCAGTTTATATAGCTGAATTCGTGTTTGGGCCTAGCGTTTGGAAAATATGATTGAACTAACGTTGGCAGTTTATTTGCCGTCCGACACAGTTTGTTGTTTAGTCTTCAAATTATTCATTTAAATATTTGGCTTTGCATGTTGTTAGCTATTAAAAATTGTTTAAAAATTGACCATTATGGCTATCCAAAGGCCTCAAGAGTACAATTATTTTGATGTCAGCCAGAACGAGTTCAGAATTAACATTGATACTAAAAAAGAAGTAGATGTAAGTTGACTTTTATTAATTACTATTAACATAAGCTCACTATATGTGGTATGATGAAAACCACGAATGTTTACGCGTGATTCATCCCTTTTTACCATCCAAACTAAGCTGTTGGAAGGTCACACGGACCTTGATTCCAGTGGCATGCTGTTGCACGCGGAGTGATACTCAATTTATATCTGTTAAGTTATTTCTGTTTTACGTTAGAAGCATAGTGCCGTTTGAGGCGATGAATCAGGTGAAAAGATTCATATTTTTTGCCATCATAGTGTTTTCCTTATATCAGTTTGATTTAATATTGCACGTGAAATCACTGTAGATAAAATAACCGAAATTAAATTCTATTGATAATATTATGACTGGAATATTCGTGGCTAATTTGTTCATTAGTTTTTTTGCTATGGAAAGTTATATTAGGTTATAACGTTTACTGTAGAGAAACACATAGTGTTTATGTTTTTTTTTCATAATCGGAGCAATTATCCTTCTCCAAAGTTGGGAAATGGAAACATATCTAAAAGGGGAAACTGATGGAAGCGCCATCGCCAGGTTGAAGTTCATTACGATAATGTTTTAAAAATTAACAATAAAATACATTGACAGTCATTATTAAAAGAAAATGAAGTCCCTTTTTTTCTTGTATAATATTAATTAACACAATATAAAGGGTCTCCCAGGAATAAGTGCAGGAATTTTTATGAACTTCATTACAGTGTGTTACAGGAGTTAGAGTGAAAGTTGATCCTGTAGATTCTACCTCTTCCTGAGACTCTTTTTCTTTGGGGTTTCTTATAACAAATCTAAAATAAAATTGTATATCAGTTAATACATATCTCAACTATCTCATTAATTAATTTTAAAGGCACTTTATTTTTCGTTACCGAGTAAAACAGAATAATTTTTAATATTTTCGCTAAATATTTTCGCTCTTATTTTAGTATTATACCTAAATCTAATAGAATTGAACTTCTACCTGTCCATTGTAACTGAAGTAACTAAAAACTAAACTTATTATGTATAACACGTTTCACTTTTTAATACAAACAATTAAATAACAGGAAATCAAAATCAATTATTTTTAGTTTGTTTTGTATTTTGTTTTCTTCTTTCTGAATCCTGAAAGAAAGAGTCAAATAAGTCAAAATAGTGGTTACTGGTTTCCATTCCGACTTGCGACGTTATTGATGCACACTGAGCTTACTTTTGTCTCTGTTTAGTCTGTTTGCTGTTATTAGTTAGAAAAGGATACGAGTACCTTAGAGTAAGTCCCGCGTATCACCGAGAGCGCAAAGGTCAAGATTGTCAGAACACAGAACCTCACCGAGGAGAAACCTTATATAACTAATTTTACTTTACTTACCTACTTTTACTTTTTTATTGGATCATGCCTTAGACAAGGAAAATTCCTTGTCTAAGGATCATGCTTTTAGTCTGAAATGTTTTTGAAAAAAATAGGGAAAACCATTTTTTTGCCGATACTATACTTTCCATTCTAAAGAGATGTGGAAGTATAAAAGAAGCTTATTAGCTTGAAAAATAGTAAATTGTAACAATTTAAGTCGTTAATGTAACAATGTAACAAGTGTGGGTAAAATGTAACAAAAATGTTACAATTGTAACAAACTGGCAACACTGGTGGCGAGACTAGACGGAATCGCCTGCATTTCACAGAATTCGCTTGGCGCGTTAAGGAGCGTATACATATGGCGAGCACAACGCGAGCCGAGCGCGCCCTGTTGTGCTCGTTGCTCGCCGTGCGCAGCAAGAACAGTGAGATCATAGTCCGAGCCAGCAGCGATCCATTTGAAATGTAAATGGCTCGCGAGCAAACAAGAAATATTCTTTTTTCAGTGTCAGTGCAGTTTTTGATGGTAGCATACCGCTTTATACAGTAAACGAGCCGGTTCGAATTTACTAACTGATTTACAGTTTCAGCATGTCAGTGGGTAATACAAAAATTTTACTAGGATGACTCCCACGGACTTTGCTGAATAAAATAAGACCGACAATTTCTAAAAAGGATACACATTTTAGTGAACCGATTTCGATCTAAGACAGGTAAGATCTATTTATAAAATGATCTAGAATTTTGTCGCGCCCTAAAAAATTTAGAGCGCTTTTTAGTATTAACTTGTGGGTTGCTTCTGATAATAAATATTTAAATAAATATATCACTTTAAATTATATAGCTCTAGTTTTTTGTACCTACTTTATTTGTTCATCTTTAGAGGTTTGCTGTTACTCTACTATTCCTAGCTACAGGAGATTTGTATACTAGCTTGCAATATCTATTCAGAATATCTAAACAGGCTATTGGAAAATAATCCCGGAAGTTTGTACAGCGCTTATTGCAGAACTAAAAGAAAATGTCGAGGTATGTTCTCCTTATCTATTAATTTTATTGCAAATATACAAATATACAAGCAAATATACCTCTCTCTTCTATAAGTTGCCAACATGCTTATAATTTTTTTCTTGCATATTTCTTCAGGTTTGCCTATTAAAGTGGCGATTTCCTTCCAGGCATCTATTCTTTTTGGTTTTTTAAAATAATTTTCGTCTTTGGGGTCCCACAAAATAGTATGCGTCCTATACAACTCAACTAATTGAAGCAAAATATCCTCCGACCATGTAGGCTCCATTCTTGCCGATCAGACCAGAACGACGAACCTGCCACAACGCCGTCTATATTACAACTGCGAGCTCCTTTGTGTTCGTCGCAAAAACCGACAAGAAATGGATCGCAACGATCACACTGTGAGCGGCTCGCGAGGCGCTCGCGGGAGGAGTACACATATGACGAATTGAGTTTGTGGCAGGCTCGGCTCGTGCTCGGCTCGCGCTGTGCTCGCCATATGTATACGCACCTTTACGTAGCGAGCCCTTGTCAGCATTGTTGTCGGGTTGAGCACGTATGCACAAATTAACTACAACAAATAATCTGCACCAATATGTTATCGAGGCATATAATCTCACAGTAATTTAAAAGATTGCTCGTCATATATCATTTCGTAGAAGATTAGGAAAAAAAGAGATTTATAGTATAAAAAATTAATTTATTTAACAACATTTAATTAAAGATGTGAAAAAATAGTTACTTTTCTATTGGTTCTATCGGACTTTTTTCGACTATATAATAAATATGGACGCGTGAGTAATTTTATAACATTTGAACATTTTATCACGCACACTCACGCACGTAAAGATATCTATCAAACCTAGTCACGCACACGCACACTCACCTATACAGGTCCAGGTATTGTTGTGACATCCTTACCTACACACCAAAATGTGGCGCAGTTGTTGCCTCCCATTGTGCGCCTAGAAATTAAAATTACAAGTTTAATGCACTCTTTTACACACCATATTTTTGGAGATAATATTTCAGGCTTTAAACAAGCATGTGGCATACGTTGCCACATCATGTTGCTAAGCTGAAAACGTGTTTAGGGTGTTACAATAAATGTATTTGCTTTGTCTGTGTTAAGGACGCCACATCATGTTCTTTTATCCCAAAAATTGTTTATCAAAATTCGTTTATCGTTATTAATTGAACCTTATATTATTATTAATTCTCTCATCGTTTCAATTTTTTCAAATTTAAAGAACAATTTTACAAACAAATTACGTATATCCGGGTTGTAAAATTCAGGATGATTTATTTGAAGTAGTTAAAAAAATAGGTACATCTAGTATTTATTCACACAATATATATCATAAATTACAGTGTATTTTATTATACTAAATGGTGAAAACTATACAATGTGATCATAATTTCTTATTGACATAATCATATTTTAAATTAAATAAAAAAGAAATAGTAATATTAAATATTGCAGTTTCTCTTTATTTTTCTTATTTCTAGTAATAACATTTTTAACAAAATATTTAATATCCGTCCATGATCTGCGGCTGAGTATATCGTTATGTTCCTCTTTAATTTTCGTACATTTATCTTTCCCTGGTACGATTCCATTTTTTATTTCTGTTTTAAATTTCTTCAATAAAACTTCCTTTCCTGAATTATCCCACGGAACTCTTCCTAAAGCCGCTTCCCTTTTCGTTCTTTTAGGTTTATTGTTCCCTTAAGAAAAAAAAGAGTGTAAAAATATATCTAACCAGAACAGTAGTTCTAACTAACTCTAAACTAACTTATAAACTATCTAAATTACTGCGCTTCAATAAAAATAACAATTATAATTCGACAAATTATTGTAAAAAATTAAGTAGAGTAGAATATTTGATAAATTAGGCAATCAATTTAAATTTACGAAAATGTTTTAGAAAGAAAGAACATCTGAAAGTATCCTTAACTTGAAATATTCAAATTTGTAACTCAATTAGATTCTATTTTTTTTAATGAATTACGGCAATTGTATTTTTGACAAAGGTCTTAAATGTGTATTTTAATAAACTAATTCCAAAAGGCTATTTTTCAATATATCATATTATTAGTTCGGTTAAAAATAAGGTTTTATTGCTCACTTTTGTAATTTCAGAATACTAAATTTACGTACTAGTTTTATTTTCCTTTTTGCCAATGAATGGTTGAGATGGTAAAATCTCATCAATCTTCCCTATATTTTCTCCCTCTTGACTATATTTTCTCCCCCTTTTCTCCCTTTCAACTTCTTCATCATTTTGATCGATTGGATCCTCTTCTATAGGTGGTAAATCTAGGAAAATTACAATATACAGTCAGTTCTAAAAATACTAATACACGTGATGTTTGCCTTACTTTAAATTTTTATATTTTTCAGACCAGTGAAAATTACCGTCATGTTCAGAAATCCCAGTTTTGTTTTCCAATAGTATTTTTTAGCGTTTCGATACTTTTTAATAAAATACAGTGTTGTTATAGCTTAGCAACTTGCAAGTTAAATTCTGCAAAGAATTATGCAACTACAAAGTTAAACTCTTCAACTAGAGTAGACAAAATTTAAAAAAATTAAGTCTTAATAAATTCGACTGGCTTAAAATGCATTGCAATATTCCTTTTCATTTAAGGTCTAAAAAGTATTACGTGTAAAACAAAAGCAGGAAATCTGACAACAGTGGTGTTATCTATTCTCATGTGAAAAAATCGAGATTTTTTATGATTACAGCTTTAAAAATGAAAATGCTTAATAAATTAGTTACAAAATAGAAATGCAGAAAAATGTATTGTTGAGTTTTTCTATTACGTTTCACCAAAATTTGAGAAATCGTCAACTTCTTTATATTTAACTAACAAGATAAATTCATTATCTACCTTAGAAGAAAAAATCAACTAGCCTACCAGTTTAAAAAACATATATGACTTGTGTCAAAAATCAAGTACGTCACTTTTCTGGAGCTGAGAGTATTTAGGTAATTTGTCAATAACTCTATTGGTTTTCCATTCTAAATAACCTTTTGCCATAATTTCAAAGTACACTGTACCGAATGATTGTTTATATTTTGCACACACACTTATCTCATTTATTTGAAAAGTTATCTCAATTATTTAAATTGTTAAAATACTTATATATCAAAGTTCTAAGGTTTTTCATTAATTTTTATTTTATGATATTAGAATAAAAAAATGATGTATCGCAAAACTGTAAAAAAATGTATCTTTTTAATTGCTTTTAAAGTTTTGCGATGGTCATTTTTTATTCTAAAATCATAAAATATAAAAATATATCAGAAGACCTACAACTTCGGTATTTAAACTTTTTTGATATATTTTCAAATTAGTGAGATTGGGTGGGAGTGCTAAATATATCCAGTAATTAGTATTTGTTAAAATGGGCTGAACTGTAGGGATCTTTTATTAATTAGTATAAAAAATATTTATTTGTCTTACCTTTGACCTCAATATCCTTTAAAGATTTTCCAGCAAATGTATGTGCTTTTCCTTGGTCCACTGCTAGCAGCAACCTACTAAATTTAGTTAACTCAACAGTATTTTCATGGAGGCGATAGAATTCACGATGTACCCTTATATCATGATCCAAATGTCGCGCAAGCCAATCTCATTCGTTTTCGTTAAGATTGAAGACTTGGCAAACAGTAGCTACGTACTTTCGTAATTTTGTACTTGTTATTGTATCTGGCGACTCCAAATTTGCTTCATAACACCATCTTTTAATGCAATCATGACCTCTTAAATAGGAATTTAAATCACCTAGTCGAGCAAAAACAAAAGGATTGCCCTCGGGCACTCCCACTGATGAGCGAGTTGCCAGTAGAAAATCGACAGATTCTTTCATTTCTTTAGTTAGCAAAACTGGTACTTTCCTTCCTCTCTTTTCTATTATTTCTACTACTGTTAGAGCATTTGCTAACTTATTTTCAAATTCCGTTAAAGATTCTTTCATTTCTGCTATACCATGATTATGCCACGGTGGTCTCTTCGTATAATGTTCAATTTTCATCCTTGCCGCTTCTCCTGAACGTCGTTTATTAAAAAGAATGATACGACTTAAAGTAAGTGATGCTAGTTTACTCCAGTTTTGAAAACTCTTTTTTCGTTCCATATCATTCTTTGTTTCTTGGATCATAAATTCTAAAAATTTGCTCAATTTAATTAAATCGCCACTAACTGGAAGTAAGTCAACAGAATTAAATTTTCTAGAGTGCAAAGTAGAAAATGCATTGGATGAAATTCTGACACTCCACTCCAAATATAAAATTGACAAGAAATTCAGCAATATTTCATTTCTTTTGAGGTCGCCCTTTCGTAAACATAAACCTCTTTCAATGCCAATGCATTTTCTAATAGAATACCCAATTTTTAATGCTAAAGACGGGATTCCAAACTCAGTTCTCTTCGCTATTTCCTTCGATGTTACACAAAGGGACTTTGTCGCTAAGACAACAGCATCAAATTTTTCAGGGGTAAGAGCGTCAATTAAATTGTGCACATCGCTATTTTTCTTGGCGAGCTCAATTGTTAATCTCGCAAGTTGCCGCATGGACTGTCTAATAAGTTCCGCTTGAGTGCTGCTATGTTTCTCATACAAAAATGCTTCAAATCGTAAAATAAGATTATCTTTGCGACATATTTCAGAAATCTCATCATTTCGCAATTTATTTAAAACGTTTGAACGAAAATCTTCTGATAAGTTATGGCCATAAATTCCATTTAGTAGAGAGGTGCTTTCAGCAGCTGGTAGTCGTGAGGATTTTTCACAACTACTTTTGTCTTTCATATAGACACATGAGTATTTAAGATGGTGCCATATATGCCTTTTTATCATAAAACCTAGACACTCCGGACAAGGACCATAACCTGAATATTTTAAAAAATTATTTTCTTGCTCAGTTGGTCTTCGTGTTAAGATTAATTCTCCTTTTTTTAATAAGAGTACGTCACAATTGTGATAAAAATCACCGCATTAGAACATTAAATGCTTCACGTCGTTTGTTGGATTTTTTCGGCATACTTAGTATTCTGGCAACTTCCATTTCATTAGAATGTACTCTTTCAAAATGTCTGGCTAAATTATGAAATAGTTTGTGACAAAAATAACAACTGTGATCTTTATTCCGTATTCTTTTACCGTCAGACGTTTTTTTAGCAGGGTTCACTTTAACTAGCTCGTCTGTATTTTCTTTAATAGTACTAGTTACACTAGAACTTGTTTGAAGTTGCTGAATATAATTAGTGATATTGGTTAGGTTTCTGTTTTCATAATCGGTATCAATTGAAGAAATGTTTTCAGGAATATTCACTGGTATTTGTAAAACTCGATCCCATTCGTCATCGGTAAATGGCATATCTTCAGGAGTGTCTGGTATTATTGAACTGTTGCGGGAGTCATTACTTGGTAGATATTCTGATTCTGATTGCCTGAACCAATAGGTTCGGGTTCTGATAATTCGTCCTCGTCCTCAAAATTAATGGCCTTAAGATTTTGTGGTTCTAGATCGTACTGGTGTTGATCGTATTTGTGAATTCATTATTGCCGACAAGTTCACTTCATCACTTGATGAAGATATTGATGGATCTTGATAATCTAAGTAGGAAAATACACATTCGTTAATCATAAAATTCGTTAATCATTAAACTCGTTTTTTTGGAAATTTTTAAAGTAAAATAACTCGGTTATCTTGGATTTATTTGAAAAAACGGCAAGGAAAAAATATGTTTCTTTTATCGAGATCTACAAGCCCGGAAAATATTTACACTTATTTAAGACTCACTCTGTAGTATTGCCAAAATAACCCTCACGAAATACCTATGAATCTAGAACAAATTTCGCTAAAAGTTGTCGAAGATATTTATAAAAATATAGGTCTGTTAAATGCTAACACCCTGTATAATAAAAACTAGGTATATAAATCGATTTAAACTTTCAGATTTTATTTACATTGAGTAGTACAATATATAAAAAATATAGAAATTTGACGAGATCTAAATATTCTCTATAATATAATGTACGAGATTGAAATTAGTAAGTAGCAAATAAAATAGTCAACATCATTTAAAGAAAAGAAAAAACTTGAGTTTTCAACATGACGTGTTAGCCCCTTTCGAATTCTATGAGTTTTTAAATGGAAACATATTATGTTGTCATATGGGATTCATTATAAAGCTCACCGAAAATGTATAGTATATACGATATATTACGTTTCTATCTAAAAAACAAAGTTGGGGTATAAATATTTTAACCTCGACAGGGTGGCTCAAAATAGAGGGAGCGAATTGGGATTATTTTTTTAACACCTCGTATATTATAGCGTTTTTGGCCTCATGCTTAATCACTTTACAAGCTTTACATAGTTCTGAGATATTATTAAATTTCTTCTGATAATTTCAGGATGTATATAAATAAATGAAAAAAAAGATATATTTTTCAGTCATTTTTTAAAAGATTATTAAAAATATAAAATGTGTGTCCTGAAATCAAAACAATGCTACTTACTGCAATTAGTCTATACTAATTCTACATAAATATCGTAGTCTTAAATCATACAGGATGACAAAATTCCATGCCAGACTTTCTAAAATATAAAATAATTTTTCTTCGTTTTTGTAAATGGAACATCCTGTGTATTATCTTTGTGTTAGATGCAGAATTAAAAAATGAACATTTTTGTATTCAAAGTATTTTGGAATTTTTAACGGTTTTTGTAAATATTTTTTTTTAATTTATTGTATTATTACATATGGCTCTTTCAACTCTAAAATACCAGACACAAATCATCAATGTTACGATATTTATAGAAAAGTAAGTACAGATCAACCGTAGTATAGTAAACACCTAGTATAATTTTGATTTCAGAACATTTCCTGTATTTTAAATAATTTGTTTAAAAATTCTGACAAATATTTTTTATTTATTTAATAATATCTCTGAAACTGTAAAAACAAATTTAATAATATCTTTAGATTATGTAATGTGATTAGAAAGAAACCTAAAAATGCAATAATGTACAGCGTGTTCCATTTAAAAAAAGATCATCCCGATCCACATATACTTTTGGGGCCACCCTGTAGAAGTTTAAAATATTTTCCTGAAATTCATCGTAGTACATACTTCAGGTTTGCAATTAAGCAAAATGTCAAAGTTTTTAATTATAGGAGATACAGATGTCTGACGGACTGTTGCAGAACCCTGCATATCTCCATTTGAAAAAAAGGGGTAAAATATAATTTTAATCCCAAATAATGAAGAAACACATTAAAATAAATTTAAGCAAACACGCGTTACATTTAAAAATGATTGTCATGATTTGGTAAATTTTATTCGATACTTTTGAACAGCCCCCTCATATTTCATCTAATATTGTTATTTTCATTAAATTCAACCCTGTATTTCGTTCAAGATTTTTTTGAGTTAATGTCCTTAACTCAAAAAGGGTGGTTCTAATTTCATGGCCATCCTGTAAAATTTGTCATAGAAAAAAGTTAAAATATAATAATTTAAGCCTGCCCCATCTTTAAAATTCTTTTGCTTCTTGTTTCCATTTTCAATAATACTAGTCACACACAACAGGAGCCGGATAAAATTTCTAACGTTCTAGTCAAAGACGTAATTAATTATGGAAACCACCAAAAGAAATGATGACGTAATGAAGTTTAAAGTGTGTGTAACCACAGTGCGCCACCTTCTTAAGTAGAAAATGGTGTCACAATTGGTCTTATAGTATGTAAGATTCAGACGAGAATCTGGCGTACTACACATTCATCAGGTTCCCGCCAAGTTTTAAAGTGTAGCGGTTAATTCTGGCGGACAATCTGTGAACTATCCACATACGTGGCGGCATACTCAAAGCAACAGACATTAAATTTGCTTGTAGCCTATTTATGACTAATTTTGTTGCGGCATCCGAATGTATGTTGCCACAACTAAAGCGTACGCCACAATTGAGTTTATAACACACACAGGTTGTCACAGTTAATGCGGTACATACACACTGACGCTCACGCACGTAAAGATATTTATATAACCGTGTCACACACGCTCACGAGTTTTAAAGGTTCTACAGTCATACACATATTCGCGGATTGACGCACGTCGACTCAGTGGTTCCAGAGAGGGTAAATTAAATAAAAAAATGAAATGAACATTTAATTCTAACCTAATAAGTTTTACAAAACTAAAGTAAGCTTAAGCATTAAACTCATCCAAGTTTTTGTTTAAAAACAATATTTGGCCTACATTTTCACTGAGAAGCCGCGTTCTCCTCTCTTCTAAAATCCGACCCGACGTCGAAAACACCCTTTCGCTGGATGCAGCAACTCCAAAGCGTTCTTCCAGAAATCCAAGACATCTCGCTGACCCACCACATCCACATCCACATGCTTCTTATATATTTGTAATTTGATGTCAATGTCTTGTAAGTCATTATCACGCACGCTCACGCACGAGATTTTTGAATCACGCACGAATCGTGATTTCAACCTAAATATTACATCACGCATATCGATGTGACACGATCAAAATCACGTCACGCGCCCTACCCCTACTATATAAATCTTTATTTGTAAACTTTAATGCATAAAATATTTTCAATCTAATAAATAATTTAATGATGTAAATAAGAGGAAATTTCTCACATGGGTGGTCAAATTCTATAGTTTTCATTGTATCAAACAGCCTCTGAGAACTGTTTTCTTCAGTGCAAAACTCATCACAATTTAATGTAAATAATTTTTCGAGCCTGTAAATAAAATGAACAAATTTTTCATTTGGCGATTTTAAACTCCCTTAAATGCACACTTTCATGATCAAAGGCTTTTAAATGGGTAAATATTTTCGAGTTATCTAGAGATTCGGATTCTTTTGCAAATTTTAGACAAATATCACATTGATTCACGTGCATTTGAAGACCCTTTTTAATGATGTAGCCACAGACATAATTAAAGGCATTTTGAGTTGTTATATTTTCATGCCTATAATTATAATCTGGTAAGGTTTAAGATCAGAAATAAAAAAAATATTCCACATTGCTCACAAACAGAAATTTAAACCTTGTCATCAGGTTGAGATTCGTGGAGTGTTATGTGTGGTCGGTGTTAATGTACGGAGTAGAAACTTGGACGCTGAAGACTCAAATGATTAAAAAGCTCGAAGCATTTGAGATGTGGCTCTATAGGCGCATTCTGAAGATACCTTGGACTGATAGAATAAGCAACGACGAAGTGTTGAGACGCATAGGCCGAAAACGAAAACTTCTCACAATCATTAAAATAAGAAAAACATCTTACGTGGGACACATATTACGCAGTGACAAATATCTACTGTTACAAAATATTATGCAGGGCAGAATTGAGGGGAGGAAGGGTATCGGCAGAAAGAAAAAATCCTGGCTCCGAAACATTAGAGAGTGGACAAATCTTGGCGTTGGAGAATTGTTCCATGTTGCAAAAGACAGAGAAGAATTTAGAAAAGTGGTCGCCAACCTTCTATGAGAAGACGGCATGGAAAGAAGAAGGTTATTGCCTGATGATTTTTAATGGCGCCACATATTTTACTAAAATTCTGGATTTTTTGACGGACTTCAATTGTGTTAATAAAATACCCAAGTCATCCAAACAAGTTATAAACGGAGAATGCAAAAAAGTTTGACAAAATAGTTTCCTAAATGCCCTTTGGAATTCTATAGGTGTTGGATTTACAGAATTACCTTGTTGCTGTCTAACGCTGCCAAAATAATTTTCTAAGCAATCTTGGTTAATTCTCCTTGTTTTTAAATAGGTAAATCCAATAGAAGAAAGTCGGTGCCACAGAATTTGAATGGACTTTATTGTGATCATCCCGCACGTACGAAACTTGCATTTTAAAGTTATATCTATATTGTTGTTATTAAAAATGTTTAAGTTTTCTAAAAATAAAACAATTTCACTTAAATATGCAATTTGAAAATCTAAGCCTTTAAAAACAGTTTTGTACGGATTAGGATGACTAAAATCCACTGCATTTGGTAAATCAAACAGTTTATCAAATTTTTCAACTACCTCAAGAGTGGCTTGTGCTTCAGCAGGAAGTACACCCAAAGTCATATGCGTCTGTAATCTAGTGGCTACCGTTCTGCTAATTACTTGCGTAGCAAGCTTAACTTTCATTTTTTGACAGTTGTTTGGATAGATATTAGCATCCGTGAGCTTGGGTGCATATATGTGAGTTTATAATCACCAACATTAAATTCTGGATTGTCACTAGTGATATTTAACAATTTTGAAATTTGTATAAAATTTGACCCCATATCAGTTACAATACTTGAACATATAGTCCAACATCTGATAATTTATTTACACATTCCTTAAGCAT